CAGGAATCGATTTCGCAAATGTTGAATTTATGTCAAATTTAATCAAATATCATACAGCTTCAGGTGCGTTACATACCAATTAAAACAATAAAATTTTTTTTTAAGAATTAAGACAAAAATTAATTTAATTTTTCGCGTTAAATAGTTTCGGTACATTCCAAGGAAATATCGCCGTATTTAATTGTAAAAACATTGTTAAATGATACAACGTTGGTTCAATTACCAGCTGGGAATGGACAAGTCCTTTATTTAACGAAGACTTTGGAGGAAGGTGTCGTCACGGTTGGTAATGGCAATTTATCAGCAAAAGTTATTAATAAAGATATTGAATGTTCCAATGGAGTTGTACATATTATCGATGCAGGTAAATTTTAAATTTACAAAGTCTTTCTTTGAAATCAAACCTGCGCTAATGCTTTCTTTCCATTGAATAGTTATAAAGCCACCTGTCTCATTGATTGATGCGGCAAATAATTTAGCATTAACGCAATTCACTCGTGAATTCACAGATGCAAATTTACTAACCGACGCCAACATAATAAAAGGGGTAACGATATTTGCACCAACAGATGCTGCATTTAATAAACCGAATATTTTGGCAATGGATGCAAAGGGAAAGAATTCATTATTACCACTTCACATAATTAACTCATTAGTATATGATATGAAAGATGGTACGAGCATCCAAGCCAGTAACGGAGAGAAATTGAATTTTATATTGAAAAATGAAGGAGGATTAAATATTACAATTTATGTTAACAATGCAAAAGTGGAAAAGTCGGTATTGATAGAAAATGGAGTAATTCATATCGTTAATAACGTATTATTACCATTAGGGCAAGGAGGAGAAGTAGTACAGAATGATGATGACAAAAAAGAACCACAAAATGATAAAAGTAATGAAAAATCAAAGAATAGTACGGATGTGCCTTCCGAAGTTAAACATACCGACAGGAAATTGGTAATCGGAGCTGTTTTGGGAGGAATTTGTGGGGGAATTGTTGTTACACTAACATCTTGTATGTTATTTAAATGGTTCAGAGCGCAAAGGAATAGTAAATCCCCAGCTCCTGTTCATTTTAAAGGTAATCCATAAAGGAATAATCAGAAGGTAAAATGTAAATATTAATAGTAATGAAATATCTAGTAGACTAAATTATAATTATATGTACTATTAATTTTTATATTATCTTATATAAATATCAACAAAAAATAATTTTTTTTTTTGAAAAAACTTATGTTAGTGTAAAAATATATATCTCTCTCTCGGTTGAAAAGCAAATTTTTTAAAATATTCGTTTCGACGGGTAAAGTTTGCTGCGGCTAACACAGTCCGACACGGGACGGGGAAAACATATCACGAAACGGAATCATTTTGAAATTCTATTTGATAGAATCATGTACCATGTTTACGAGATTTTTTTTTCAAATGTAAAATTATTATTTCATAATGCTTGTAAAAAGTTCTGCATACGCGTATTTCTTTTTACTTTGATATTTTATATCAAAAAATTTTTTGGATGAAAAGTAATTATTTAAAGTAGCAAACCATTGGACAAAAAAAGACAAATTTATCATGCATTTAAATTTTAATGCATCAATCAATTATCCTGATTTGAAGTTGTATGATGAACCGCACATACATGCAGCTCAAAAAGCGCCGAAAGTGGAAATGTAGGAATGCGTCAATCATATGAGTTGATCACGTGAATGATACATGAGTCCTAGTCCGATAATTAAACGTTACATTCGCAGTTATTTTTATATAAAATACAAAAAACTAACCAAGATATTGTTCTTAAATAACAATTGTTTAAATTCATCACAAATTCAATTTTCAACTTAATAGGGTTTGATTTAATCTCTCGAGTCCCCTTTAGTTATAATTTCTTTAAATTTTGAATTATCACTTGACTAAAAGTTAGGGTCCAAAATTACTGTATTTTTAGGGAAAATCTTTTATAGTGTAGTATTTGTATTGAATAGCTAAAACAATTCTAATTTTGAACAAGTCTTTATTTAACATAAGAATCTTTTTGAAACAAAACAAATTGACTTATGTATCGAAAATTATTATGCTAAAAATGTTGTTCTGGTTAAAATTAAGATTTTTACGTAATAACGACGAATCACAGAGTGTATAGGCAACTTTTTTGAGATTATTATAGTGTCTTTATATGTAACAATGAAACTTGTAATACGTCCTTACAGTAATAAAGTTTATTGAAAATTTACAAATCGGTTGTTTTTGTATTAATGCAATTTTCGTTTATTACATATTTTTTAGATTAATATTATCACTATAAAAATTACGAAAATCACAGCTGTTATCTTTTTCGCCTTAACAAAATTAGTATCGATTATGTTTTCTGAAGGGGGATTACTGAAGCATATGGTGGGCCTAAATACTTCACTTGTAGGAATATTTATCTGAAAAGCTGACATGTTTGGTACGTTGCAGACGGCAGGTTCCATATAGAATCTTTGCATAGAAAATATGAAAAGTGCAATGCTTAACTTGAATGGTAAGTAAGATATATCTTATCTGGTCTTAGATCTAAAGATAACAGTAAGGACATATTATTCAGAATTTGTTTCATTTGCACTATCATTATCAAAATGAACGTCCATGTTATTTAATAACTATAATGTAAGAACAAAGTTTATGTATTGTTGCTTTTTATATTAGGTGGTAGAATTAATCTGATATTTTAATGTTTTCTACTTTTTTATTAGCAATTAATTTGGTTACAATAGGTTCTTTTAAATTTCATGAAATTTTTCAGTTTTTCTGATATAAGTATTGTTTTATCAATTTTCTGTAAAAGTAAATTGTATTTTTAATGTATTTGTTCATTATGTATTTTCTAAACAGTATTTATTGAGTATAAAAGTAGACTAAATCTTTTTTATAAACTAAATATTTTTATCAAATTTCTATCTTGACTAAATATCCAAAATTAAATGAAATTTTGAAATATGTTAGAGCCATTCAGAATACCAAATAATATTAATAATAAGGATGAAAACCAATATGTTTTAGATTTGATAAAGTATTCAAAATCTTTGAGATTTATTTATAAAACAAAATATTAATAGAAATATTATTGAAGAAATAAAGCTAAAGTAAAATTAAAACTGCTCAAAAAGAAAGAGATAGTTTTTACTTACTATTAAACAAATATCTTGAAAATACTTTGATTTTTCAGAATAAGCATGCAATTAATTCTAGAAAGAAGGTATTGTGAGAATTAATAGATGATTTAGTTATAATTTTTGACATGATATATTTATTATTACATAATATTTTTAAAGATCTTAAATTGTCTAAAATATATTACATGTTATGATAATAGCTTAAAATATATTTTAGTACTAATTAATTTTGATGATGTCAAAATTAATTATGTCATTTCAACATTTATTATAAATTATTAATAAAATAATTATATCTGTCAAAATACAATTCATTTATTAAAATACAATTTAATTAGTAATTTGTCAATTTGCAGTTTAAAATAGATGTAGATAATTTATAAAAAGAATTGATAAAAAATGAATCTTGAAATGCAAAAAGAAGGCTTACTTTAAGAATTTGCTAAATAAGATCAAAGAATTATATTAATCAAAAAGACTATAATATAGTACATCCATACTCATCAACTAGTCTAAAATTTAAAATTTATTAAAATTACATAAAAATGATTTTATTATACAAACAATTTGTAATAAATATTATTTTTAATATTAATTAATTAAAATTAATTTAGTTTAATTTCTCTAAAACTTTATCTTAAATTCTTTTATAGAATTTATACTTTTTTATTACATATTTAACCAAATTTTACTAATTTTTTTTTAATATAAATCTGTATATTATCAAGCTTTTCTTATAAACTTTCTAATTATAACTAAAAAAACTGATTCAAGATTTTAAAATACAATTTGTTTTAATTCTACCTATGAATAATTACAATTTTCTATTACATATCTTTTTACAACTTTCTAATAAAGTTAAATTTATAATGAAACTCTAAGTAAAAAATGCATTTGTGATCAGCTTTTTCAATAGTTTTAGCAATTGTATCCTTTAAATATGTAAAAGGCGCAATAATGTATATTACAATTAATTTTATACTTGCATTTTTCGAAGCCCCAACCGAATTTGGCAAATCAGGACATAGACGGCAATCAATGAAAAAAGCTAGGCTCGTATTACAGGCAACAAATATCTGCGGAAAGGAGTAAAATAAAATAATTTTTTTTTTTTTTTATATTTTTAGTATTAATAGTGGATATTTCATTTTTTTAAAAAGTAAATCTCTCTCTTTTTTTTTTGAAGCGTGAATATATGATTTAGTTTCTAACGTATTCTTAAATAAAATAAATGATTTTAAAATAATATAACTTATGATCAAAGTTATCAAAAAAAAAAAAAAACCTCCAAGAATTTGTTATAATTAATATATTTATTAAATAGGGAATTAGAATAGGATAAACAACTTTTTTTCATAATTCTTTCGTTCGCCAATCCAGATAAACATCATGTATCCTCCATATATTCGGTGTTTTCGAGTAATTTTATTATTAGTAATAGTTTTTAGTAATAATGTGAGCATTGTAAAAGGACAAGAACCACCACAATTTCCATTCAGTATAGCGCAATATATTCAAATTACGGATAGTTTAGCGACTTTAAGACAGATATTAGCTTATCCAGGATTAATCGAAGTATTTACATTATTGGATGGAAATGCATCATTTTCACCAACCACCGAAGAACAAAAGATAACATTATTCGCACCATCAAATGAAGCGTTACTTTCATCAGGAATCGATTTCGCAAATGTTGAATTTATGTCAAATTTAATCAAATATCATACAGCTTCAGGTGCGTTACATACC